TTGTTGTTTAAGATTCAGCTGCTGGGAACAAAAAGTTCCAAGTAGCACGGGCTATGGTGAGCCCGTAGTGGACTTACCTGGCACAGGAGCGGGGCTGTAACTTGATACTCATAAAGACATGGCAGAAGTAACAGCACACACAAGAACATCTTCAACTTAATGGAATAATTACCAAACAAAACTGCCGAGATCAACTTGGGTTTAGAGCGAGAGATGCAGACGCCACCATCTGGCCCACTCAACCATTCACACCAGTTGAGGACTACCAGAGAACATACAAGGACTTTGCAACGGATTTAATAAATAAAACCGTGAAGTAACATTCCTCCTCAAACAACAATTAAGCCCATGGGAGTAAAAACCAAAGTGGGAAGACGAATAATCATTTTCTAGACAGGTCAAAAAGATCACAAGTAAAATCAAATGAAATATATTTCACAGAGAGTGAGAGAGGCGACACCAACAGCCACTACCGAGGCACTGCTGCTCGTCATTATCATACACACAATAATACACAACCTTCAGCTTCACGCCATCAACTGCTCAACACACCAGCGTCGGCGTGAAATTGCTTCAGTGAAAGACCCAGTTTTTTATTGTTTAAGATTCAGCTGCTGGGAACAAAAAGTTCCAAGTAGCACGGGCTATGGTGAGCCCCGTAGTGGACTTACCTGCCACAGGAGCGTGACTGTAAATTGTTGAAAGAAAAGACACTTTTGCTTTCTGCCTTAAATACTGTCCGGCACTCACCTCACCTCTTCAATCTTAAGGTTATCTTGAGATGATTTCGGGGCTTTTTAGTGTCCCCGCGGCCCGGTCCTCGACCAGGCCTCCACCCCCAGGAAGCAGCCCGTGACAGCTGACTAACACCCAGGTTCCTATTTCACTGCTAGACAACAGGGGCATAGAGTGAAAGAAACTCTGCCTATTGTTTCTTGCCGGCGCCTGGGATCGAACCCAGGACCACAGGATCACAAGTCCAGCGTGCTGTCCGCTCGGCCGACCGGCTCCAATACAGGAGAGATTATGACAGGGAAAACACAGAACATATACGGCACTGAGACGGTGAAACACCAAAATTATTGGCACCGTTTTAGAGTACACTCAATGTACTCTCTAAAAAGGAGACAAGATGTATATCGTCATATATCACATATATCACATCATATATCACATATACCATGTATATATCACATCATAAATACATGGAAGATACTGGAGGGCCCCGTCCCTAATATCCACTGGAGCTAATGATCTGGTAGGAAATGCAGAAGAGACCCAGTGACTTAGTGCTATCGGTCTACAATGGTTTGCCTGTGCTTTATTACATCCTCTATAGCGTGGTGCTATCTTTCCTGTTTTAAGTATGTCGGGGATAGCGCCAGTATCTAGGTTTCACCTTCAAATAACGTTAAGGGCTTGTGATTGTTTTTTGTGCAGGAGCTGGTCGACACAACCAGGTAACGCAGAAGCTGGTCGACACAACCAGGTAACGCTGGAGCTGGTCGACACAACCAGGTAACGCTGGAGCTGGTCGACACAACCAGGTAACGCAGAAGCTGGTCGACACAACCAGGTAACGCAGGAGCTGGTCGACACAACCAGGTAACGCAGAAGCTGGTCGACACAACCAGGTAACGCTGGAGCTGGTCGACACAACCAGGTAACGCAGAAGCTGGTCGACACAACCAGGTAACGCAGGAGCTGGTCGACACAACCAGGTAACGCAGAAGCTGGTCGACACAACCAGGTAACGCTGGAGCTGGTCGACACAACCAGGTAACGCAGAAGCTGGTCGACACAACCAGGTAACGCAGGAGCTGGTCGACACAACCAGGTAACGCAGGAGCTGGTCGACACTACCAGGTAACGCAGGAGCTGGTCGACACAACCAGGTAACGCAGGAGCTGGTCGACACAACCAGGTAACGCAGAAGCTGGTCGACACTACCAGGTAACGCAGGAGCTGGTCGACACAACCAGGTAACGCAGGAGCTGGTCGACACAACCAGGTAACGCAGGAGCTGGTCGACACAAGCAGGTAACGCAGAAGCTGGTCGACACAAGCAGGTAACGCAGGAGCTGGTCGACACAACCAGGTAACGCAGAAGCTGGTCGACACAACCAGGTAACGCAGGAGCTGGTCGACACAAGCAGGTAACGCAGGAGCTGGTCGACACAAGCAGGTAACGCAGGAGCTGGTCGACACAACCAGGTAACGCAGGAGCTGGTCGACACAACCAGGTAACGCAGGAGCTGGTCGACACAAGCAGGTAACGCAGAAGCTGGTCGACACAAGCAGGTAACGCAGGAGCTGGTCGACACAACCAGGTAACGCTGGAGCTGGTCGACACAACCAGGTAACGCAGAAGCTGGTCGACACAACCAGGTATCGCAGGAGCTGGTCGACACAACCAGGTAACGCAGGAGCTGGTCGACACAACCAGGTAACGCAGGAGCTGGTCGACACAACCAGGTAACGCTGGAGCTGGTCGACACAACCAGGTAACGCAGAAGCTGGTCGACACAACCAGGTAACGCTGGAGCTGGTCGACACAACCAGGTAACGCAGAAGCTGGTCGACACAACCAGGTAACGCTGGAGCTGGTCGACACAAGCAGGTAACGCAGGAGCTGGTCGACACAAGCAGGTAACGCAGGAGCTGGTCGACACAAGCAGGTAACGCAGAAGCTGGTCGACACAACCAGGTAACGCAGGAGCTGGTCGACACAAGCAGGTAACGCAGGAGCTGGTCGACACAACCAGGTAACGCAGGAGCTGGTCGACACAACCAGGTAACGCAGGAGCTGGTCGACACAACCAGGTAACGCAGGAGCTGGTCGACACAAGCAGGTAACGCAGGAGCTGGTCGACACAACCAGGTAACGCAGGAGCTGGTCGACACAACCAGGTAACGCAGAAGCTGGTCGACACAACCAGGTAACGCTGGAGCTGGTCGACACAAGCAGGTAACGCAGGAGCTGGTCGACACAAGCAGGTAACGCAGGAGCTGGTCGACACAAGCAGGTAACGCAGAAGCTGGTCGACACAACCAAGTAACGCAGGAGCTGGTCGACACAAGCAGGTAACGCAGGAGCTGGTCGACACAACCAGGTAACGCAGGAGCTGGTCGACACAACCAGGTAACGCTGGAGCTGGTCGACACAACCAGGTAACGCTGGAGCTGGTCGACACAACCAGGTAACGCTGGAGCTGGTCGACACAACCAGGTAACGCAGGAGTTGGTCGACACAACCAGGTAACGCAGGAGCTGGTCGACACAACCAGGTAACGCAGGAGCTGGTCGACACAACCAGGTAACGCAGGAGCTGATCGACAAACTGACAGACAAGCTTTTTTGTCACCTGCCTGGGAGGACGACCCATGAAGGATTATCATCAAGAAGATAACGAAAAAGTCCAACATGATACCACAAGAAATGAGGCATAAGTATCTTGGGAACATTTATATTAAAGCCGGAAATAAGTTGGATCAACTCCAGTGATGGGTCATGTAATGCTACCAATGACAGGGCTGGGCCAGCATACACTGTAATTAGGAATAATGCACAAATCCACAAGGGCCGTGACGAGGATTCGAACCTGCGTCTAGGAGCATCCCAGGAATAATGTTAGGAATAATGCCTTTCAAAACGGACGTGAAGATAAAGCACATCTTGAGAAACATGCCTCTTCATCTCAAGCTAAACTGTCACTATTAAGGCGTTAAGACTTCTTGAAACACTAACGGTGTTTAGTGTTTTTTTAGTTTTTTTTTCAGTATTCTGCACCGATTCAAAAGCAACACTTCAAAGCCTTGTATAAAAAAGGCAGAAATCTTGCGATAGTTGTTGAAATTAAGAGAGCTGTGAGGGTACTAACCAATCAGGGAAGAGTCATCAAGTTTCTGTGGATCCCCTCCCATGTTGGAATATGTGGGAATGAACGAGCAGATGTGCTGGCTGCTGAAGGCGCTGAAGGAGACCTTATTGAATACTTCATATCCAAGACTCTACTACAAATTAGAGGTATTGTCATGCAACATCACCGTGACAAAGTAACTGAGGAAAGGAGGATAGAAGAACAAAAGTGAATCTGTACAATGGTACAATATGGTTGCAGCTGGCAATCCCAGTCATTATGGACGAAGAGGCGGCGGCAGCGGGAGAGAATCAGTAATAGCAAGAATTCATATTGGATACAATCAATTAACTGATTGTGGGTTATGTTCTTGCCCACCCTCCGTACTGTGGGTAGGCATTTTCTTCCATGGAAATCCATGGAGATTCGGAATGGAAACAACAGTTGATCAGCGAAGTTGCAGAATCTGTGATGAGAGACGGACACCGCCTTGACCACTACCTGAGATGAGTGTGGACATCTAAGAGACATTAGAAATGTGTGGGCACATAATAAACTCCACATTATTTGAGTTAGGAATATACTGTCAAATATAAATGCTGTTCTTAAAAGATTCCCCCATTTTGAACCCGCAAGATAACGCAAGTTTTTAGGGTTTGACAAATGTTTATCTTCTTGTTTGAGAAGCTGTTCACTTAAGAGACAGTTAAACAAGTCCCAGCTGTGTCTGGGTACAAGTGACAGGATGAACAACCCAGCAGGTTTTCTTCCTATTGGGGAGTGTTGTACATAACGGTATGTTAAAAAATGCAGAATAGAACCAGTGAAGAGCAGAGGTGCCATAGGCACAATCAGAGAACACTGTATAAACATCAGAGGTCCGCGGTTGTTCAACACCCTCCCAGCGAGCATAAGAAATATTGCCGGAACAACCGTGGACATCTTCAAGAATAAACTAGATAGTTTCCTCCAAGGATTGATTGTTGCCGCCGGAGGCGGCTAGTTTATTGTGCACCCCATACTCATCCTGTGAGCGGTAGCGCAAAAGCATTACAGAGGGTACAAAAGGTCTTCTTCAGACCTCATCTAAGATTATTAAATAAACAAATTCATCTATCCTTCACACCTTATAGTTACATGTCAGCTAGTTACAGCAAAAGTTCTATTTCAAGAGCTATATATTTACAGTCAGTCATCATACATTAATGGCAGGTTTTATCGCTAATACATAATTATTTGAGCATTCCTCCAAGGAGTGCCGGACCCTGTGGTGGGTATGTGGGCTTGCGGTCCGCTGCAAGCAACAGCCTGGTGGACCAAAGTCAAGCCTGGCCTCGGGCCGGGCTTGGGGAGTAGAAGAACTCCCAGAACCCCACCAACCAGGTATAAAACAGGTATGGCGGCGTGTCCCAATAAACTCGCCCCTCGTGGCAAAACTTATAATTAAAAAAAAGCTGGAGGGTACAAAAACCTGGTTGGTTGATCAAGGTATCCCACAATGTCATTCATTTCTGTTATTGGAACAGGAATACTGCCATGGACAGCGAGCTGTCACACAAATGCATATACTTGTTAGTGAATGGCTCCCCCCCCCCCCCCCCGCTCGCTCGCTCTCTCTCTCTCTCTCTCTCTCTCTCTCTCTCTCTCTCTCTCTCTCTCTCTCTCTCTCTCCCCGTGCGTGTGGAACACAGTAACGAGGTTAAGGTTCGATATGTATATAAAGCCCTTTGTTTTCACACCACACACAAACACCACTGATACCTGCACACTGCACTTTACATTTGGCTACATTTGGTCCCCCCCAAATGTAGCCAAATGGCTACATTTGGCACCATATCTTGAGGTTGATTTCGAGGATCATTGTCCCCGCGACTCTGTCTCTGACCAGGCCTCATGGTTGTGCTATTCAAGTCAGTTGTGATGTCCCGTCTTGAGTACTGCTCAGTACTCACTTCCCCCTTCAGAGCAGGAGAGATTGCTGAAATAGAGGGAATACAGAGAACATATACGGCACGCATAGACGCGATAAAGCACCTAAATTATTGAGATCGTCTCAAAGCTCTCCAAATGTACTCTCTAGAAAGGAGACGAGAGAGATATCAAATAATATACACATGGAAAATTCTGGAGGGCCAGGTCCCCAATCTATACAGTAAAATAACAAAATACTGGAGTGAACGATATGGTATGTATACTCCCACACACACACAAGCCAGGTAAATATACATATGAACATTATTGAGAGACATTCGATCCATATGTATACACCATAGTAACCTCTTAGATCAAACGATATGGTAGAATGTCCAACAAAAAGCTCCAGTGAAAAATATAAATGCATTAGGCACTTTTAAAAAGATAAAGTGTCTTTTAATTAATATATAAAGCCCCCCCCCCCATGCCTCTCAACATCCTTCCTCTACACAAAGCCTAACACTGTCCAGGGGCCAGATTCACGAAGCTGTTACGCAAGCACTTACGAGCCTGTCCACCTTTTCTCAATCTTTGGCGGCTTTGTTTACAATTATTAAACAGTTAATGAGCTCCGAAGCACCAGGAGGCTGTTTATAACAATAACAACAATTGATTGGCAAGTTTTCATGCTTGTAAACTGTTTAATAAATGTAACCAAAGCCGTCAAAGATTGAGGAAAGATGTACACGTTCGTAAGTGCTTGCGTAACTGCTTCGTGAATCTGTCCCCCTGGCCTCTACAGATGGGGGTCGTAGACACACGGACCCCAGAAGGCACCACAAGGAACCATATACAGTGAATGTCTTAACATTCAACTCTTAATTCTCCTTAAGAAACATTTATCAGTAGATGACATTTGTCTCAACACTGAGATAAATGTGTGCAACTGAACACCTCAGGATGGCAACTCAACACCTCAGGATGGCAACTCAACACCTCAGGATGGCAACTCAACACCTCAGGATGGCAACTCAACACCTCAGGATGGCAACTCAACACCTCAGGATGGCAACTCAACACCTCAGGATGGCAACTCAACACCTCAGGATGGCAACTCAACACCTCAGGATGGCAACTCAACACCTCAGGATGGCAACTCAACACCTCAGGATGGCAACTCAACACCTCAGGATGGCAACTCAACACCTCAGGATGGCAACTCAACACCTCAGGATGGCAACTCAACACCTCAGGATGGCAACTCAACACCTCAGGATGGCAACTCAACACCTCAGGATGGCAACTCAACACCTCAGGATGGCAACTCAACACCTCAGGATGGCAACTCAACACCTCAGGATGGCAACTCAACACCTCAGGATGGCAACTCAACACCTCAGGATGGCAACTCAACACCTCAGGATGGCAACTCAGCACCTCAGGATGGCAACTCAACACCTCAGGATGGCAACTCAACACCTCAGGATGGCAACTCAACACCTCAGGATGGCAACTCAACACCTCAGGATGGCAACTCAACACCTCAGGATGGCAACTCAACACCTCAGGATGGCAACTCAACACCTCAGGATGGCAACTCAACACCTCAGGATGGCAACTCAACACCTCAGGATGGCAACTCAACACCTCAGGATGGCAACTCAACACCTCAGGATGGCAACTCAACACCTCAGGATGGCAACTCAACACCTCAGAATAGCAACTGATGCCATCAAAGTGTATTCAAGTCCTAGAATATAAAACTTCAGAGCGTTCCTGATCAACCACACTGTGATTCCAACTATAAACTGCACATAGTTGTGTCCAATCATCTAACACACCAGACCATCAACCCGGGACCATAGGACTACGAACCCCGAGCGCTGTCCACTCAGCCGTCAGGCCCTCCTATCAGGAGCATCATGAACACAAAACTCGTGTCCTGCTCGGAAATAAAAAAAATGACTTCAAAAAGCTATTACAATAAAAGTGAGTTTAAAAAGCAATTAATTAGAGCTTTTCGTAGTGTGTTTATCAACTTAATATGAACACAGAGACTTAAATTAATTCATCGCGGGCACATGTGACACTGATTTATTTATATATGCAAATGAATACACCACATTATATATACCTGGTCTTCAGTGCACGTCTGGGTCAAAGAGTAAACATCTTTAATAAGACTGCTGATATATTAACTTTCAATTTTTTTCGATAAAACACACACAATAATATATATATATCTATATATATATATATATATATATCTATCTATCTATATATATATATATATATATATATATATATATATATATATATATATATATATATATATATAGTGTATATATATATGGGCACACAATGGGTTCAGGAAGTAAATGATTGTGGAACTTGTCACTTTCGTGTTTCATTTTGAATTTTCGTAAAAAATACGACCATTCCTCCCCCCCCTCCTACCCCCACTCTTGCATAACATGAATATTTTTTCATTGTTATTTATCGTGACATAAAATAATGCTTTACTGTGTCCCTTAAACAAAATATTACTGTCAGCTTCAGGTAAAATATATTTTTATCCTGGTGGGAAATAATTAACAGTTATTCACAATTATCCCGACACAGAATGTCACTATTCCCTCGTGGGTAATAGGCTTACACGTTCCGGAAGATGAGAGGAAATGTCACCACTGTGGAGAAATGCTCGACACACCACTGGAACATTATCTAACACAGTGCACAGTTACAACCACAACAGACCACTGGAACATTATCTAACACAGTGTACAGTTACAACCACAACACACCACTGGAACATTATCTAACGCAGTGTACAGTTACAACCACAACAGACCACTGGAACATTAACACAGTGCACAGTTACAACCACAACAGACCACTGGAACATTAACACAGTGCACAGTTACAACCACAACAGACCACTGGAACATTAACACAGTGCACAGTTACAACCACAACAGACCACTGGAACATTATCCAACACAGTGCACAGTTACAACCACAACAGACCACTGGAACATTATCTAACACAGTGCACAGTTACAACCACAACAGACCACTGGAACATTATCTAACACAGTGCACAGTTACAACCACAACAGATCACTGGAACATTATCTAACACAGTGCATAGTTACAAACCCATTAAGAGTTTAACTTAGATTCAACAGAGCAGAAGTTGTTAAACACGTGGGACAAAATACGTGAGGAAGGGAACTGTGTCACCATCTGGGGTTCTACCTTTTACACTGAACTATTTGACATTATTTTTGACATAAAAATGTGTACATGTCCAAAATGAACACTTTTCGAAGTCTTCATCTTCCTTAAGCTCTTTAAGATCATTTATATACATCTGTCTAACGCCAGACACATGTACGTCATATTTATTAATGATGACATCGCAACAACATTTACTGCCTGAATCAATTCAATAAAACCTAAATTATTATCAATGCATAAAATCCCTCCAATAGAACGGCCTGGAGCACATGCAAGGCAACTAAACCAGATCATAATTTATATTAAAAAAAAAAAACCTCTTGATCCATCTTCGTAAACAGAATTAATGTCTCACGAGACTAGAAAGCACGACAGATATATATATATATATATATATATATATATATATATATATATATATATATATATATATATATATATATATATATATATATATAAACAAGGATAATCGCCTCCAGGAACCTCTACCTTCTCTACCACACTGTGTAACGCCAAAAAAATTTTTTTCATCTAAATTCCAGGAATTCTCAGTCTTGGACTTAATATCAGTAGCTTTACAAAGTCTATGTCAAGACCTGTTCCATCCAGAAGGATTCACTCGAGTGCTTACTCGAGTGCTTACTCAAGACACTCACATCATCTCAACCTTTACACTCAAGTTTGAGTGCGCTCTTAACTACTCTGAGCACCTGGAAGCACTCTAACTGGGGAAATAGATATAGGTTGCAGTTTATGCTTTAAATACCTTATCTTGCGATGATTTCGGGGATCAACGCCCCCGCGGCCCGGTTCTCGATCAGGCAAGTGTGGTCTAAAAATTCTCACAGAAATAAACCGTAAGTGGCAGTAAAGTATGTATTCACGAATGTGAGAAATCGCTTTATTACCCGTTTCGTAGCATAGTGGTCTACAGACTCGGCTCTTAACCGAGGAATCCAGCCTCAATCTCCGGGCAAGGTAGAGACAGTTAGGCACATTTCCCTTATGCCTCAGCTCACTTGGCAGTAAATAGGTACCCGGAGCAAGATGATTGTTGTGGGATGCATCCTGGGGAGTGTCATAGCTGGCTTGACGGGAAGGGGGGGGGGCAGCGATAAGCCCAGGTGCAGGCTTCCTGTCCCCGTAAACGGAAATAATTTATTACATGAAAAAACTGTTAACCACTTCTCTACCTGCCTTCCTTGAGCACACTTGTAGAGCTTAACTCACTCTACCTTCCTGGAGCACTCTTGTAGGCAGCTGGGTGGACAGCGCTTCGGATTCCTAGTCCTGAGGTTCCCGGTGAAGACGGAGACAAATGGGCAAAATGTTTCTTTCCACCCTGGTGCCCCTGTTACCTAGCAGTAAATAGGTACCTGGGAGTTAGCTGCTACGGGCTGCTTCCTGGGGGTGGAGGCCTGGTCGAGGACCGGGCCGCGGGGACAGTAAGCCCCGAAATCATTTCAAGATACAGCTCGACACACCTCAAGAAATAACTCAAAATTGTCCATCTTGGCCCGTTGACCAATGTATAAATAACCCAGCAGGGAAGGTCACCATGTGTGTGTCTGCAGAATAAAGGATATATCTCTGCCAGCGTCACCAGACCGGCGTGCCGTCCGGATTGTTATTGGCGCTAATTACCTTGTATATCCGCTCAATTCTCCCCGTCGCAGCAACATGAAAGAGCACTGTTATTACCGGAGTTATGAACGCTACGTGGGACACCGTAAATATGTAATGATCTCACGCAGTCCTCGGCAACTGGGGCGCTGGAGAGGCGGCCAACATTTGTTTTCCTCGCTTGCTCCTGTGATTCCTGGTTATCTTGAGGTTATCTTGAGATGATTTCGGGGCTTTAATGTCACCGCGGCCCGGTCCTCGACCAGGCCTCCACTCCCAGGAAGCAGCCCGTGACAGCTGACTAACACCCAGGTACCTATTTTACTGCTAGGTAACGGGGGCATAGGGTGAAAAACTCTGCCCATTGTTTCTCGCCGGCGCCCGGGATCGAACCCGGGACCACAGGATCACAACTCCAGCATGCTGTCCGCTCGGCCGACCGGCTCCCAACCTGTGTCGATTTGTTTTCCTCGCTTGCTCCTGTGATTCATATGTCGATCTTGATTTCTTCCTCTCTCGCACCTCAGACTCCTGTGTCGATATAAGTCACGTTTTTACTGCTCTTTTCACACGATATAACATTAATAATTTTCTAGTTTAATGTTATATCGTGTTAGGATACGTCTGTGACCTCACGTACATATGAGGTCGACACCTTTTAATTCGTCAATGTTTGAATGTTCCTCAACCAGTCTGTTCTCGCAATTTGCCCAACTGTTTGGCGTAACCAGAGAGGTGCGAATCCTATCAACCCAAACAACCCATCAAGGCCACTGCATAACATTTTTTGATATTGAGAGGCTATAATCAGCACTCACACATTGCATATCGAATTAGTTCTAAATTGAGTGCAGATATACAGACTATCTCGTGGCGTAGAAATGATGACTTTTTAATGCCGAGCCGTCGTGTCTACGCCATTAAGGAAAGCTTTGGGGCCAGGAAGGCCCCTTGGGGTCTTCCTGGCCCGAAGGGAGGACTTGGGGCCCCAAGTCCCTCGTGCATGCTTGTCCAACCTGTCCTCCTACCAAGAACGTCACATTTCGCTCGTATGCGTTACATAAGGCCAAAAATTGTCGTACTGGAAAATGGAAGCGGCTGGCGAAAGTGACGTACTGTCCCGTTTTCTGTTTTGGGTCCTCTGGTAGGTTACGAGATAGGTCCCAATTGGGACCGGGACTAAGTAAGGTGTTCCATGATCCACCTCTCAATAGGTTCGCCTAAATGACAGTTCCGAGAACTGTCGTAAATGCTTCGATTCGCCTGACTTAATGCTAAAACATTTGATTGTGCTAATTACATTCCCGTTCAAATTGATTCTGCTCAGTAGGCCCATGATTGCTCTATATATCCCCGACCGTCTAAGTGGTTGGGCACCATTCCTTCCCCCCGTCCCATCCCAAATCCTTATCCAAATCCAAGTGCTATATAGTCGTAATGGCTTGGCACTTTCCCCTGATCATTCCTTACCTTCCCTCCCCTAATTGTTCGAGGTTCAAAAGGTTTTTCGGAATAAAATATAACGTTTGAGGCAAACGTCTCAAGTCAATATCACACTTAAGCTGCTGGAATATTCTGACCTCAATATCAGAAAACTTTAAAGATCAATACCACATTCGAGCTGTTCCAATAACCTAGATATCCGAACTTTTAAAGTCAATAAAACCTTTGAACTGTTCCAACATTCAAACCACATTATCCGAACAGACGGGACGCGCCGTCTAGGATGACAGACTTGACAGTAATCTTCAAGGATGACAGTCACCAGCTGTAAACATTAACTCGCCTCGCCTCTTGGAGGAAAAAGATAGTTTAACTTTTATGTTGATTAAACATTATTATATCCGCCCTTGACCTTCCGCTG